CACACAAACACACACACAAACACACACACACACACAAACACACACACACACACAAACACACACACACACACACACACACACATACATACATACATACATACATACATACATACATACATACATACATACATACATACATACATACATACATACATACATACATACATACACACACACACACACACACACACACACACACACACACACACACACACACACACACACACACACACACACACACACACACACACACACACACACACACACACACACACACACACACACACACACACACACAAACACACACACAAACATACATACAGTACAATCTTTTTTATTATATATATATATATTTTGTTAACAGTGTGTAAAATAATCAAAGTTTTTTATCATAAATATATTTTTATTGTAATAATATATATATATATAGTCTCCGTAGGGATTATATTTAAGAAATTTTTTTATTAACAATTTTTTTATATTTTGTCGATGATATGGATATAAAAACAACTCCTCCCGTTAAACAACTGACGCACCCTTTATTTTGTCAATTGTTATAAATATATATTAATATATACAGTATTTTCTTTATATTTTGGTTTTTCTATATTTACATTATATTTCTATATATACAATATTTAAATAATTTATGACATGTTAAGTCAACCTATTATTTTTAAAAAAAATCTCATTCAAATTGATGGTCAAAATAGCATAATATTATTAGATTTTGTATTTAGTAAAAGACATATATATTTACGTAAAACTCTATTTTTGTGATTTAATATGGTTTGATGATACTGCAAATATTTAGCAAAAATGTTATATATAAATAGAGAATTATATTTAATATATAGATTTTATATTAAAATAAAATTGTTGTTGTATTTACTATTTATAGTACAATAGTGTAACGGTTAGTCAATAATAGGGAAAGTTTGTATTGTTTATAATGCAGGTGTTATACTGATATATACTGTATATATATAGTATAAAAGTATTATATATATATATATATATATACAAGTACTTTTATACTATATATATATACCAGTATATACAGTAATATATATTGTATATAGACTTTTATATAACAATAAATTAAACCGGCATAACGCGCCAATAATTTAATTTTATCAGATATTTCATTAAGTTTCAAATGGGTATCTATTATATTATATTAGAAGTTATGGGTTTTAGTGATTGTGTGGGTATTACGGTATTAATACTATAATCATATTTTTTGTGGACACATTTAAAGCTAAGCATTTCATTGTATAAATAGATATAATCTTTGAATTAATTTTTTTTTGTTATCTATAATATTGATATTATTAACCAAATATGGCAAACATTTTGCAGACACACACACAAGTGTATGAAATATGAAATATTTTAATTGTCGTGCGTAACAGTCATTATGACAGCACACCCACCCAAACAACAATGACCACACGGTTTTCCACTTAAGTATTATAATAAAAAAAAGTTATATATATATATGATATAGAAATTAAAATATGATATTATATATTATTACACTTAAGGTTTTATTATATCTATTGTATATATATATGTCAATATATCTTATTACATCACATTTTGTTTTACTGCTATTAATAATTATTAATTAACAACAACAACAAATTATTATAGCAATAAAATTTTATTAATTTTTTTTTGATATCATAGTTACTCTATTAGAATAGGATCAGTAATGTTGCCTAAAGTATAAATAAATATCAACTGTATTCATACTGTTTATTTCAATTGATCCGATTTTGCACTTATTTAATATAATGTTTGCACGAAATATACTTTAAAAAATTATATTACTTTTTATTATAAAATAAAATATATTTTTTTAGAAATAATCTAAATAATATAATTTTATTTATTTTTGTAATTTTCAATTTAAATACAGTGTGTGTGTGTGTGTGTGTGTGTGTGTGTGTTTCATATAAATAATTTTAATAAAAACAGCTATTATATTATATACAGTATAATGTTCATCATTTATAAACACTCTTTGCATTTATAATTCAATGTATTTTTTTATTGGCTTTATTTACTTAAAAAATTAGACTTACAAATACTGTCTAGAAATCTAAATAATTAATATTAATTTTATACCCAACTATTTATTTAAATAAAATTTATTTATTTCATTAACTTCATTTGGTATTATCATTTTAATTTAAATACATAATAAAAATTAAAATACATTTATAGTCATTTCGCTGTCTAATTGTTATCTTTTACAATAAATTAACAAATTATTAACATTAATTCAGGTTTAATGTTAATTTTTTTAGAAATATAATGTATATATATATATAGATGAAAAATTGTCAAAACTCTAATTATTATTAACTGAATTGTAGGAAAACAATCAAACCAATTATTCACAGCTAATCAAAAATAATAATAATAATATACCAGCATTATTATTGTTATTATTATTATTAAACTAATATATAAAATTTATATTAGTCTTTCTAAAAAAATAACTACAAAAACGGCATATATTTACAGTTAATGAGCCCTTATTTTTCTCTGTCGTTAAATCTGCTATTTTATTGTTTTAATTTTCTCTTCCATTTAATCCTCAAACATATTGAGAGAGAGAGAGAGAGAGAGAGAGAGAGAGAGAGAGTTTATAGATTTTATTATCAAACATATATATGTAAAAAAATCTAATTAACTAAAGTAATTAACAAATGATTTATAAACATAAAGGCTATACTATATGTCATATGTTACATATAGTAGTATATGTATACTTATATTTTATATAAATTTCTATATATTGCTTATGTTTGTAATTAATAGGCAAATTAGGGATAAAGGATTTAGTGTATGTATATGTGTTGTGCTATACTATAGGCTATAGTATAGTACTGTTAAGTGTGTTAGTGTTTATTATTAAGTTCACAATTAACAGACATGATATACACATACAGATGATATAATATTCAAAATATACATTACTTGCAATACAAACACAACACATCTAATCTAATAATTTATTATATTATAGCAAAAAATTTTGCTTACTGTTTCATATATTACATTATATATCACTGGTGATCAGCAAAGTGATTTTTGATTATTTTGATTAAAATGCACTGTCGAAGCTTATGGTTTATTAAAATATATTTCATCTAGCTCAAATACACTGTTACATATTTATTTTAATTAAGTGGTATATTTTATTTAATATTATATAAAAAAGGTTATTAAATTTGTGTATTAGAATTTTTTTGTTTTTTATCTTGGTCAGTAATTATGTTTTCAAGTAAGGGACCGTATAATCATTGTGATAACGGCTGTTATATATAATAATAATAATTATTATTATTATTATAACACTAAACATTGTGTGTTTTCAATTTAATATATTACTGTGCATTGCGTGTGAATAATAGTTGATAAACTATGTACAGTATAAGCGCACTGTTGTTTAATGCTCAATATAAGTATATTAATAGTGCCCAGGGTTATTGTTTGAATGACATAATTGTAATTAACTAAACTTATATACAGTATATATGGATATAAAATAAAAATTTCAGTTAAAAAGTGTTTGCATGACTGATATTTACACCTAAAAAATTCTTATGTATTATTTATTAAACGTTATATTTATAGTATAGTATAATATAGTACTATATTATTATACAGTATTACACTACTACTACTACTACTACTACTACTACTACTACTACTACTACTACTACTACTACTACTACTACTACTACTACTACTACTACTACTGTATGTTAGTACGGTATTAGTCAAACTGATCAATAGTTGTTAAGTTTTGAAAAATTTAGTAAAATTTTTTTTATTAAAAAAAATTTCAATCAATCCATTGTGTGTATGTATGTATGTGTGTGTATGTATGTGTGTATGTATGTGTGTATGTATGTGTGTATGTATGTGTGTATGTATGTGTGTATGTATGTGTGTATGTATGTGTGTATGTATGTGTGTATGTATGTGTGTATGTATGTGTATTCAATTGTGTGTAAGTGTGTTCAATATCCATACAAACATAATAATGTTTGCTATGAATTGCAAACTCGATATTTAGATAATAATTGTATCCTCGAGTAAAAGTTTTGAAGTAATTGAAATTTTTTTATCTCTCTCTCTCTCTCTCTCTCTCTCTCTCTCTCTCTCTCTCAATAAATACTTTGGATATGTCTCTAAAATCTATTAAAACCTTATCCTTTATATATATATACTGTACAGCAATTTATTAAGTGTTAACGCGCTGTTACTAAGTAATTACTTACTTACATTATATACATTATATTTTTGCTCACATTTAAATCACATTTAAATCAAATTATGTGATAAAATAAAATTATTTAAAAAACAATTTGAATCTCTTTTTTTGAAACTCTAAATTCTTAAGTATTAAACTAAGATTTTTATTTTTAACAAAAAAATTATTGATTTTAGTTTATCATCTATGATTTTAATTTAATCTATATACATTTACCAATAATTTGTTATAATGGCTTCATATACAGTACATAATAATATTGATATATAAAATATATCTCTATTAACTGTATAAATAATGTTGCATAATTATGCACTTGAAAATCTAATTAATTATTAATAATTATTTATTATATTATCTAATTATAGACAATATAAAAATAGTACAAAAAATATAGTACACAATAGAGAAACGATATAATAACTAAATAGTTAATTTGACACAAAATTAAAATATATTTTAATATAATCAAATGCAATGGCAATACAGTACTATTAATTACTATTACACATGTTATTACACAAATTATATAGAAATACTGTATATATAGCTAAGAATATTAAGATATTTATAGTATTTAAATATTTTTTCTTCAAATATCTCACAAAATAATAATAATTAATTAATTGTTTGTTTTTTATCATTTTCTTTATCTATGTCTACCATTTCATATGTCTGGTCATATCGTTTTGGATTTTGATCTCAGTTTCGGAGAAAGAGATCCGTCAGTGGTATGTATTTAACTGTATTTTTATTATACAATATATTATTATTATTATATTTTTATAATATTATTATATGAATTTATAGATAAAATTTTCTATTGCATAATACATTTATAGTTTATTTTATGCATGATTTACAATTAATCGTATAGTATTATAATATATATATACAGTATTATATATTATATAATTTTACTATACTAAATCCTATCATGCTATTGTTAGTAATAGCTATAGTAATTGGTAGATTAATATATATATACTATTAAATTTAATATTAATTTAAAAAAGATTGTCTTTTTTAATAAAATGTAACAATAAATGTAGATAATTTCAATTTTGTATGAAAAAATTGTTTTAAATTATTTAAAAAAAACTAATTAAAATTGTATTTTGTTTAAACAATAGGTATAAAGGCTTTAAAAAGGATTGCCCTAATGGACAGCTTACTGAACAGGTATAGAGAGAAAAAAATTTTATTGAAAATTTACACAAAAATAACATATATTTTTAGTATTTCAATGTTTTGAGTTCAAAAATAATACTGTTTATTATATAACATATTATACAACAACTACTACTAATACTCTATTTTTACATAAAAATGTATTAATTTTTAATTTTTATGCAACTCTTGTTATTGCAACTACAGTATAATATAATCATTAATGTTAAAAATTGAAATTTTTAGATATATATTTAGTAGTCGTTTATATAAAAATATTTCTATATAAAAAAAATTATTCAGAGATTACCAGTCATTTAATTTATAATTTATATAAATATTATGCCATATACAGTATATTATATTATCCATATGTATTGAATACATAATAATATTTATATTATATAATAGTGATATTAATATAAAAATATAATTTTATCTCTTAAAATAATATTAGCTTTTAAATTTCAATCTTCAAGTCTATATAAATATTGTTAAATATGTTTACAATACATATTAACAATTAATTTGATAGATAATTAGTTAGTTATTAAATTATATTAAATATAAAAGCAAATTTAAAATAATTGCCAATTAATTAAGAAAATAATTTTTAGATGATATAAACGGATTAATAAAACGACAATATATACAATATATAAACTGTTTATTATTACTGTATTATTAATACATGTAAATTGATGGCAATAATTAGCAGTATCAGCAAAAATATTATATGTATAATGTCAAATGGCAATGATGTAATGTTATTTTAATTAAATTTTTTCAAAATATAATAGTAATCTTATCAACAACAAAAAATATTTTTAATATAAATATACAATAACTAATATATAGAAAAAATTTTGTGATTAAAATAATTTAACCTTTAAAATAACTAAATATTTATTTATGCCTTTATTATTAAGTCACCATAAATACTAAAATATTAAAACACATTTTTGTTATATTATAAAACAAAATACAAAAATAGACTAACAATTTGATGTTTAATTTATTTATTTTTTTGTGTTCATCAAAGACATACAACTAGTGTTCACTTGATTTTTGTTTTGCACACAAAAAAACTAACTGTCTTTCTCTTTCTCTCTTTCTCTCTTTCTCTCTTTCTTTCTCTTTTTCTCTCTCTCTCTCTCTCTCTCTCTCTCTCTCTCTCTCTCTTTCTATTTTGTAGTCATTTTAGTTTATATTTTTTTATATTGTATTTGTCTATTACAGGGCTTTTTGCGAATATATAAGCAATTCTTCCCACACGGAGATCCATCCAAATTTGCATCCCTTGTCTTCAGGGTTTTCGATGAAAATAAAGTATATTTACACTTTATATTAGATATATTATAAGTTATATATTTAGACTATTTTTTCTATCAGTATATGTATATTATATTATTAGTTCACAATATTTATATAATCTGTAAAATACGAAATAACCAAATAATATGTAAATATAAATCATTTTTTTTCTTTACTGAACAACAAAAGCTATTAATTTAATAGCATTTTCTTCTATTTTTGTATATTTTCCTTAAGAATATTCTTTATTATAATATAAAATGTATGCAATTTAATAATTTTTGAGATAAAAATATTAGATTATACATATATTTTAAAATATGTTTTATAAATATATGTTTGCATATATTCAATATATATATAAAATATTAAATTAACTAGATTATTTTAAAATATAATGTATTATGTCTATTATTATTAGTATTATTATAATAAGTACAATTAGATAGAGTAATTTGGCATTATTAGTATTATTATGGCAATTTAATATCATTAATCTATTAATTTAATACTGTATATTATGACTTTAAAAAACAATATTATATTTACAATAATGATATATTATAATAATAATAATCATATTATAAAATAAAAAACAATTATTATATACAAAAAAAAACTAATAATAACTGATAATTGTTTTAAATAAATTGCATTTTAAATTATTATAATATAAATATATATATGTATATAAATAATTGCATTAAATATTATTATCATTATTATTATTATCTGATCCATTAAAAGGACGGCTCAATTGAATTTGAAGAGTTTATAAAAGCACTTTCAGTGACTTCCAGAGGAAATTTAGAAGAAAAGCTCGTTTGTATGTATTATTGTTTCTAACATATTATTTACCTGTAATTAATTATTTTTTAACATTAGATTAGATCTTATATTTCCTTAATTAATTTGTTTTAACTATACTTATTATTTTTATTATTATTCGTTATTATTGTAAATAGTAATTGTATTTTGTAGATGTACTGTATTATATTATATTACAGTTGTATACTAATAATCATATTAATCATATTATTGTTTCAGAAGTAATAGTTTAATATAATGTTTTTTTGGTTTGTTTATTTGTTGAACATCTATATTAATTAAATATAAAATAATCTAAATTAACATTTAGATTATAAATTTTTATTTTATTTATATTATTATTATTATTATTAAGCAATCTAAATATATTATATTATATTGTATTTATGGTATTTATTTTGTGTGTTTGTGTATTACTACTATATTTTTCAGGGGCTTTCAAATTATACGATGTAGACAATGATGGGTATGTATATATATACATATATATATATGTTTTATTTTATTTTATTTTCTTTCTAAATATTTATTTGTTTTATCTTATTTTTTTGTGTTGTTGATAAAATTTGTATTTATTTATTTATTTCAACTGTTATTTTAAAAAGCTAATGATTGCTACAAAAAAAACTAAAGTTGTATATATTTTTTATTTATTTTTTTTATAGATATATAACTAGAGAAGAGATGTATAATATAGTGGACGCTATCTATCAAATGCTGGGAAATCAGGCAAAAATAGCCGAAGACGACGATGAAAATCCTAAAGAAAGAGTCGACAGAATTTTTGAACAGTTGGATAAAGTAAGACATATATATATATAATCTGTATATATATATAAATCAACACATTTATAGCAAATATATATATATATATATAAACCTTAATCTATAAGTTAATTTAAATTCAAATAACATTTTCGTTTTGATCACAAATTTTTGTTTATTTTGTTTTATAGCAACTAAACAGTTGTTTTATTATATGACTTCTTATATCAAAACATATATACAGTATATAAATTTATATATATTTTTGTAAAGTAAATAACATATAAAACAAATTTTTTTTTGATTAGAAATTTTTAGGTTCTCTTGTTTGCTATATATTTGTAAAATTTGTTTTTTTTGTATTATTATTTTTTTTGGAAAAGCAATTTTAAATTTTATATTACAATAATGAAAGCTTATAAATTTATTTATTTATAAAAATTCTTTTATTTTAGTAAATTTATATATATATATATAATATTGTTTCATTAATTTATAATAAATATTTAATATCAAACTAATACTGTATAATATACTGTATAAACTTGTACAGTATTTCTGGTAAACAGTTACTGTATTAAAGTATATACAGGTATATTAATGTATATATTGATATAAATTATTAATTAAGTTAAATGACACTATTATGTCTATCTAGTTATAATGATTTATTATTTAAATTTAATTGTCTATAATATATTAGAATCTATAAATTATAAAAATAGGTTACTTTTAAAATTTACATTTATATATTTATTTCATTAACTTGAATTACTAGTAAACATATATAGAAATTATATATTGTATAATTTTATAAAAATTTAATGTATGGTTAGACTTATTATTTTTGCTCTTTGAAAATTGCATAACTCTCTCTCTCTCTCTCTCTCTCTCTCTCTCTCTCTTTCTCTCTCTTTCATTCTCTGTTACTATTTTGATAGGCAATTGACTTTTAAGTAGAAATACAGCAAAATATGCAGTTTTATTTATAAGAGCTCATGTAAATGAAAAAACGATAAAATAACAATATTATTGGAAAATTTTTATATTATATTTGTATTTATAAATTTTGTTGACATTTGTCACATTCAATAATATTGTAAAATAATATTATATTTTTTTATGAAAAAATCTTGTTATAAATATATATATATATTATATATATATAGTTTTATTCGGACAATATTGTATGGCAGAGATCGTGTATGTGTTTATATGTATGAATGTGAAACTATAGGTTAATTGTATTTTTGTTTTATATGTATATATATTTATCCGTATATTCAAAGTGATCGATAGGGATAGTTGTCTCAACTGTTAAAAAAATAAATAAATATATAATAGGAAAGAAATACAGCATTTGATAATAAGCTGAAAATAAAAAAAAATTTGATTAATGGCTATTGCGGTCAAACTGCTACTAGATTTTTTGTTATGGCATAAATCATTTATTATTATTATACAAAAAATTTTCAGTATATAACTTATATACTGTATATATTGTTCATGGTTTTTATGGTTGCAACAAATAAATAATAATAAAATAATAATAATTTTAAAATAAAATATATTTATAAATTTTTTTCAAAGATTTTTAAAAGAAAAAAGAGTGAATTGAGAGAAAAGAAAAAATGGTTTAAAATTATTAAATAATTTAAAATTTTATGTATACTGTAGTAGTTTAGTATTTTTTTTGTTAAATAACAAAAATAAATAAATAAAAATATTATATATTGATTTATTTTTCTATTTCAATTCAATTTTTTCTTATATTTATATTATAATTTTTATGTTTATATATATAATATATATATAAACTTTATGAGTTTATATTTAATTCATATGTTGATTGAACAACATTTTTTTCATAATGTCATGAAATATTTTTTTATATACATTTATAAAAATAACAAACTTTTGCATTTAAATGAAATGATTGAAAGTTTGTTGAAAAAAAATAATTTTATTATACAAACAAACATAAAATATTTATATATATATAAATATCACTGTTTATAATTGATTTTTGATTTTTTTTGCTCAAAATAAAATATGAATAAATAATAAACTGTCTATTATGCATTATATTATAATATAAACAATTTTTTTGTAAATATATAAAAATCATATATTGACTTTTTATTTTATATAGTTTAATAATGATAGAAAAATGCAAAAGATATTATTATTGATTTCAATTTTGTTGTCACATATGATATATCAAGCAAACAACAAAAACAAAAATATTAAAGTAATTTTTTGTTTGCAACAAAATATTTTGCACAAATTGAATAGACTTTAGGGAATATTTTTGTTGTATATATATATACTATTGTATATAAAATTTATATTAATACTGTTTATTAAATTATATTTTAGGTATTTTGTTTTATGGAAAATTAAAATTATGCTCAATTGCAACAACAAAAATTTACTTTACTTTTTCATAGTATTTAATGAAACTGTATATGAAAAAATGACAATAATAATAATAATCTCATATTATTTATTATGTCTAAACAATTTTTTAATAAATATTAAATTAATGTTAATTAATTTATATTTGTATAAAAAATTAATTTAATCTAAATTACAGTATTATTATTATTATTATTATTATGAATTTATTGATATTTATATACACTGTTTATTATATACCAGTATTTTAGTGTTTGTTATTTAATAAACTAACAAATATTAGTTCAACAAATATTATCTATTTAATTATTTACTTATAAAAGTTTATCTCAAAGGGCAATAGGATATACAGTATATAATATTATTGTTAAATATATATATTTCCCTTAGAGTTACACACATAAGCCTTATTGACTTATGTTTTTTTTCGATACACAATTTAATATAATAATAATAATAATAATATATAAATATTACGATTATATCAATAGTTGTAATTACAAATATTAAAATTTTATTATTGTTTCTGTATTATTTATATACTGTATTTATTATTAATGTAATTCCTTTAAATTAATTATTATTATGTCATATCTAATATTTATTATAATATGGTTGATATAAATAGATTTAATGATGGTAGTTTTTCATAATTTAAAGTTGACAGCTAATATATATACAGCATAATAACGTATTAAAATAATAAGTATAATATTTATATATATATTAATTTAGTAATTCAAAAATTGTCGTCATTATTTTACTTATAGTACATAAAACTAATATACATTATAAATTTAATATTATAATATATAAGATAGTTTGTAATCTACTGTAATGTGAATATGAAAATGTATTATTCATATACTGTAAAAAAGTATATAAAATTTTTTATTAGTATTTTAAAATAATATATAATTTTTTATAAAAATATAAATTTATATTTTATACAATACACTCTGTAATAATGTTCAAATCGGTTTCAAAAAAGCACAACAACAACAATAATAATAATGTAATCATAATAATAATAATAACATGAAAACAATTGAAGGCTGAGTTTAGTCCACTCCGGAGACACTCCATAGCCATTACAAAGACAACTATCGATGCCATTAGCCATTCATTGACATAATTTGATGCCAAATAGTATATTATAATCTATTATATGATATTTTTATCATATAAAATACAGTATATTGTCCATAATATACAGAATATATATATATATATATATATATATATAATAGAAAATAATATACAGACAATGTGTACATTACCTACATATAAGTTTATATAAAGTATATAATATACTGTATATATATATATATAAACATATATTTCCTAACTATGACATTGCGTGAGAAATACATATTTAATAGATAATCATAACATATATAACCGATCGTTCAATTTGATGAGCAGTTTTTATATACCACATAAATATAAAATCTATTTTTAATTTGTGTGTGAGTGTGTGTATGTGTGTGAGTGTGTGTATGTGAAAGAGAGAGAGAGAGAGAGAGAGAGAGAGAGAGAGAGATAGGTTTATAAATATAAAGTTTGACACATAAGTTATTTCTTATATCAGTATCAATATTTTTTTATGCCGATAAAAATATAAATTTTTATTGAAAATAATATTTTTATTTATTTTTTGACTACTCTAAAGAAAAAGTTTAAAATATTTTTTAATATTAAATGACAATGCTAAACTTTTATAGATACAAATACAATGTAATATAAATTTTCAATTTTCAATTTCAATTCAAGAATTTGATTAGACGTTTGTTGTATAAAAAAATATAATTTTAAAATTTAAAGAAAATCATACCTTTTTGTTATTATATTTCCAAAAATATATTAAATATTTTTTTTTATAAATTCTTTATATATATATTCAATAGATATATAAATAAATATGTAATGAATTTTAGAGTTGGATTATATCATATAAATGTGAGACATTGAGAAATAAATATTTAACTTGAATTTATGTATTTTCGTTTATTTCTATCTATGTTTAGTTGATATAATTTATATATAAATGAAAATTTGTGACAAAAAAACTAACAAATAATATTTTCCAAAAATATTTATATTAATTTAATATCTCTATAATTTTTTCCACAATTATCTAATCCCAACCCCTACTCAACTCCCCCCAGAACCAGGACAACAAACTAACTCTGGAGGAGTTCAAAGAGGGCTCAAAACAGGACCCGAAGATAGTACAGGCGCTATCACTGTATGCACCATAAGTTGCTGATGGATAGGATAGGACTGTCAACAACAATATATGCCATACAAATCAATAATTTTTAATATAAAACAGTATATATATTATCATATAAGTTATGATACAACCATTGTTTTCAATCATCAGTTAAGACAGAACTTAAACCATTATAAAATATATACTATATATAAACATATCTTATTTGCTCATTTACTAAGTAATTATTTATTAGTTAATTTTGTAATATATAAATGATACAATAATAATTTAAACTATATTATTATTATAAATATAACTATGAAAAAATAATAATTTTGTTTGTTATATATATAAATATTTAGTTAGAATTTTGTTTATTTATCAATCTATTGATTTTTAAAAGCAAAAAATTATTGTTTTAAAGTTAATTTAAAATTTAACTGTATTATTAACATATAATTTATATATGATATTAATATTTAACTGATTAAATGACATTTAACAATAAAAGCTGACCTATCGGTGCTCAGTAAAAAGGATATTACAATAAACATACAGTTTATTAATATTACTTGAAAATTAATATTATTTGAAAAGTGTGTATTTGTTAATAACATTTTTAGATTCACTCCATAAGCAAAGTTTAAATGACTTTTTCTCTCATATAAATAATTAACAATAACTTAACTACTCATTATATTATCAGTATTTTACATCAAATATTATTTATTAAAAAATATAATCAAATATTATATAATGCACTTGATATTTATTAAAAAAACTATTATTAAAAGTCAAGTTAATTTAGTCAAATATATAATATATTGCAAATCTCTGTAAATATTACATTAAAATTATTAAAAGCCAAACAATTATTATTATTATTATTATCATTAATATATATAAATTATATGATAATATTTAAAATGTTAACATTTTTGTGTCAAAAATGCTTTACATGTTTTGGCACCATTTGTTTGTTTCAATACATAGTTTATATATATAGATATAACAATTGCTTTATTTGTTGAGTTTAATTTAATTATAGTAATATTTTGTATGGAAATTTTAAAAATTTTGTTTGAAAATGTTATTTTCATTATGCAGTTTATTCAACATATTAAATAAACATAGTGTTATAATAAAAGAGACATTTTAATTAAAATTAATATATAAAGTAAATTATAGTTATTGTGTTAACTCTCAAAAAATTATTTGAATTTTTATGAATATATTAAAAATATATATATAATTAAATTTAATTTTCAACATTAGTAGATATTAATGCGAAGGACAAATTGTAGGAAAATTTTTATATAAATTTTAATAAATTAATTTAATTTATAATTGTACAGTACATATATATATATATATACACAAATATACACAATTATAAAAATTATCATATTATTATTATTATTATTAATGAAAATTATTATGTTAGCAAATAAAGAAATTGTAAATAATTTATATATAAATAATACAAAAAATAATACACAAAATCATAATAAATTATTAGCAAATATTTCAATTTATATTATTATTTTTGTTTTTAACATGCTTATAAAAATATGTTAATTATTTTTTATTTATTTAAATTAAAGTTTGCACACATACGGTATTATAAATTGATTAAAATATTATAATCATAGTTTAAAACAATTTATTAACTAATAATAATAATATAATTATTATTTCTTATGCAATAAAGTTTTTAAAATGTTTTCTTGACAAATATAATAAACAAAAATATTAAATTTATTTTTTTTAATAATAATATATTATTTAATTAACACATTTGTCTTCACAAAAAAGGTTGACTATATCTAACCAAACCCTAATATATCTTTAAAAATATTTTATTTTCTAATTTTCAAAAAAGATATATAAATTATATATATAGTATTAATAAATATATAATTTAATTATGGTAATAAAAATACACTTTGATATTTCCAAACTCACACAACTATTTTCACACAAAATGTTTTTGAAACTTTTGATAAATTTTTGTTAAATTACAAAAAAAAATTGACAATAATTCATAAAAGACAACAATATGTGTTATACCTGCCTTGATTAAGCACCTATTAATCACTTCCTTTATTATTATTATTATTAGTATCTCACTTAAAATTTATTGATGATTTACCCATTTGACATTTGTATGATACAATATATCAATAAATTATTGTATGACTATATATCCATAACCCATATATACAGTATATACACACACAGAGAGACACACATACACACCCATCAAATATAATGCCACATATTATGTCGTCAAACAATTTAAAACTATACAGTAAATAATTTAATTATCTAATATATTAATAATAATATATTAGTGATTTTTAACATTTAAATTATATAATTAATTTACACTATTTTGCATATTGTATATAATTAAAGCACATGTAAAATAACTAAAAGTAACATTTTGTTTTTATTATTAATTATATTTATTTATTATAAAAGTATTACTGTATTACAGTATTATTATTATATAATTTATCAATAATTATTATAAACATTTTAATTAATTTTTTCATATACATACATACAATATATCTTTATATATATAGTTATTCTTTTATTGATTATAATCTTAATGTTGATAATAAAAATAATAATAATAATAACAATAATGAACATGAATTATATAAAAGTATTAACATTATATCATATATATATATATTGTTCACTATTATGATATTGATATCATTATAGAGGAACCGATAAACTTATAAATAAAATGTAATACAAAGAGCACAATAATATCAAAAAATAAACTCAATTTATATTATATATAAATAGTATTTATTATATTAATTTCTATTTTCAATTTAATTCTAATAGTCAATTAAGATTACTTATATAACATTATAAAAATAATAACTGTTTTAAAACTTTTATTAAATAAAACTATAAAATTTATTATATATTAGTATTAGTATATATTTATATATTAAGAGCTAAATTTAGCTTAAATATTGTTCAATAATAATGAAATTAAAAAATCAAATAATTGCCATTACTTGTAATGGTAAAAAAGCACAGTATATTAAAGATATTATTAAAAAATAAAATCAATTTTATTAATGTGTTATTTTTAAATTAAATACAGTGTAAATAAATGTATATATATATATATATATAAATTATAAATTATGCTAATGTTTTAAATAATAATAATAATAATATAATCAAATATAATATAATAAAACTCTAAAAACTCAATAATAAAATCATTTATAAACTATATATACATATGACATGTCTATAGAGGAGATCAGTATTTGTTGTCTTCGGGTTGACTATTGATGTCATCGTCTATGAGCTGTTCGTCGTCATCGACGTGACGACCGAAAGCCTTATTAAAAACAGGATTATTGAAACTGATTGCAGTCCTGATTTGGTCGCCACGACTGTACAGTACGTTACGGATCTCACTGGGAGTCAGAAAACTTAATAAACAAATTATTTAAATTTAATTTTCAAATTTTAATTACCTGTAATCATCTCTTTTGATGACAATGTAGACCAAAACAACTATTAGGGTAACAATACCAACAGCTATACCAAAAGTAAGCCAACCCTTCTTGTCATCACTGGATTGGTTCACAACAATCGCTGACTGTTCATCAGTGGTGCGATTCATCAACATTTTGTGCTCTTTCTTAATGATATCGAGTTCATCGGGAAGTTCATCGACAACACCTTTGATGGTAAGCATATCGTGCGATATATTTAATACTTTTTCTTTAATCTCATAAACTTCTTCCGGTATGTTCTCACAAGTCTTCTTGTCTTTAGAAAGGACCAAATTGTCGGGACAGACACAAGTATGTCGTCGATTGGGTGCCAATACACACATATGGGAACATTTGTGTACATAACACGGATTATACGATTGCTTTTGAATTAACGGATGATATATATGGACACCCATTATTTGTTCATCCCTTTCCCGTATGAGTATTGACTGATTATGTCCCGTCAGTTTATGGCTTTTATCCAATGAGTATGTCATCCAATCGCTCCAATAAACCCAGTCTTCAAATACGTCTAATGAAAATGGATGAAAAACTTTGTCTGATAATACAATTACTCTTTGATTTGTCTTCAGATCCATGTATTCAATTCTACCGACTTTAGCATCTGACCAATACAATCGATTAGTTGCCGAGTCTAATGCAATACCGTTTGGCCAGATCAAATTATTGTTTATTAAGTGATGTTTGTTTGAACCATCCATTCCCGCCATATATATTCCCGGATGTTCTCCCCATTCAGTCCAATATACAGTTCCGTTTGATGGGTCGACAACTATGGCTCGTGGCTTATCTAAGACACCAAATAAACCCGAAGCACACATATCTCCATCAATATTACAGACTATTATTTCATGTAAGTCTCCGTCTGTTATGTATATGTTTTCTCCGACCCAATCAATAGCCAAATCTTCAGGTGCTTTAAAGTTTTTTGTGACAATAGGTTTGAAGTAATCACCCATAAGAGTGGATGAATATATTCCAGGAGTTTCGTCTAATTCAACCCAATAAACCCTATCTTTTTTGGCTAAATAGTCGATTCCAATGGTTTGTTTGGATGAGTGAAAAACGGGAAAGAATTGTTTGCTTCGGAGCCAAAAACCACGAATACCTTCACTATTTGAGAACAACAGAAGTGGTTCCTCTTCAGCTGCAATACAACTCCTATTGTTAATCAATTTGTATCCTTCACTACATTTGCATTTATATCCACCATAAATATTGACACACTTTTGACTGCATAGTCCTTTCAAACCGTCATCACATTCATCGATATCAAAACAAGTTGTGTTATCACTACCCAAACTGAAACCTTCGCGACAATAACATTGTGGTCCATCTGATTCAACAAAGCATAGTTGTGAACAATTCTTGGTATGGCATCCACTCGATCGACATTCAGTTCCCTCGTCGTCTCCTTGCGGACAGTCTTTACGTTTGTCGCACAGCTTATAGATGGGAATACATTCTCCGGTAAGACATTTATAAAATCCGTGCTCTTTATCACAAATGTCGTGTTTTGGTTTTGACGGACAGTTAGTCTCATCGGAGGCATCTTCGCAATCGGGAATACCGTCACATCTCCAGCGCGAAGGAATACATTCAAAGGTATTGCATAAAAATCCCGAACACTGGGCCCTGTCTTTTGTACAATTTTTTTCATCGTTTCCATTGGAACAGTCTTCCATACCATCGCACAGCCATTTATTTGGTATACATGTGCCGTAGGTATCATTACAGTGGGTGTGATTAACAGCACAGTGCTTCTCAATGATTTCGTGTCGTGTCTTAGCTGTGGGACTTCCGCACGACTGTTCATCGGCCCAATTGCCACAATCGTCTTCGCCATCACATCGCCAAAAATGACCGATACATCTATCATTACCGCAGTCAAAGAAATTTGACGGACATTTGCTATAAACTAAAATCATAATTAATATTAATTTTTTGAAAAATATTATTATTATTAAATTTAATTAAATGATTTTGTTTAACAATTACCTAAACTACAGCCAACAATCAGAGCAAACACAAAGAGCTTTATGTTTAGCATTATTTCCAAATTAAATTAAATTAAAAAACTAAACAATAATTATTAAATTAAAACTATATATTAAAGAGAGAAATAATGCTTTTTTAAAGTATAAGACACTCTCTGTGCTCTCGAGTGAGGTTTGAAATTAAACTAAAATATTTTTATAAGACAGGTCAATTTATCACAATTTTTTTGTAATGATATTTAAGCAAAAAAACTAGTAATTATTATAAAAATTTTGTAATATAAATCATACACTATTGGACACAATAAAAATTTTCAACTATAACTTTTTAATATTTTCCGTTCATAAGTCAAAATAATAATAATAATAATTTAATAGTTTAGATCTAAAATTCATGAGTGAACTAATTAATAATTAGTAATTCAAAATACAAATATGTGATAAAATTTAGATTAAACAAATAATAACTTAAATATAAAAGTTTTTAAATTTTCTTATCATTTATTATATTCTATGCACAATACTATTGAGTATACAAAAGATTTAAATTTTAATGTGTTTTATTTAATTAATATAAAATTTCCATTAGATATATACAGTATATATTCATATAATATTAATATTTATTAATTTTTTGGTCTAAACATAGTTTATTTTTACATTATATAAACTTAATTAACAATATAAATGTAAACAATATATTGTATTATGGATACATATATTGAGTATATATAAACATTTTACAGTATATGATTCACATAATATATTATTACAATTAATTAATAAATTAAGTTAACAATATAAATTTTTAGATCCTAACAGGATATTGATTAATTTTAGCTAACATTTTAGTCATTAATGTTTTAAAATTATTGAAATAAAACTTTACAAACAAAAGTAATAATAATTAAAAGTAATTATTTAATTTTACAGTTACTTATTTCTAAATATATAATACTTAAGGTTATTCATACTTTGCTTGCATTGTATTTTATGTTTAATTTTTAAATACATTTCATATAAATAATATTTATATGACTATTAACTATATTTATTAATAATCTGTTATAAAACACATTTAGTTTTAAAAAATTATTTTTTAATTTTCATGTAATTGTATAGTTTATAATATGTAAATTAAACTTATATTAAGAAATATAAACTAAATTTACTCATTATCCTGTTTGATAATGCAAAAGTTTATACATATTGTATTACAGAATATTTCAATATAATATATATATATATATAATATACAATTACATTAAAAACATTTCAAATGTTTTGATTAATATAATTTTATTAAGATTTTCTTTAAATACATTTTATATATAAAACATTTAATTCAATAAAAGTTTGTTATATTTAGTTAATAGATTCTAATAATTTTCTTAATTAATCTGATTAAAATATTTAAGTAAAATTATGTTTAATTTAAAATTATTATTACTATTGATAATTACTAATATTTGTTTAGGTAACTAAAAAATTAATACTAAAATTATTGAATAAACTTTTTTTTGATAATATTACTTAGTTTATAGCATTTTCTTTGACTGCGGTAACGGAAAATATATTGGACACTACTTGACATGCGATGGCCTGGATGATTGTGGCAATTGGGCCGATGAACTGTCGTGTACTAAAAGTCCCAGTGCTAAGACACGACCTGTTATTGTTGACGAAAGTCTCATTAATTGTAATGATAGCTACAATACATGTATACCTAATAAGTGGCTGTGCGATGGTCTTAGAGACTGTTCCAATGGTAACGACGAGATGAACTGTACGAAAGAAAAATCTTGTAGCAAAGGGTTCAGTTTGGGTGGTAGTGATAACACAACTTGTATTGATATCAATGAATGCGATGACATTTTGAAAGGACAGTGCAGTCAAGAGTGTATCAATACTTATGGTGGATATAAATGCAAATGTAGTGAAGGATACAAATTGATTAACAATAGGAGTTGTATTGCCGCTGAAGAGGAACCACTTCTGTTTTTCTCAAATAGTAAAGGCATTCGTGGTTTTTGGCTCCGAAGCAAACAATTCTTTCCCGTTTATCAAACATCCAAACAGACCATTGGAATAGATTTTTTAGCCAAAAAAGATAGGGTTTATTGGATTGAATTAGACTCGTCTTACAGAGTCTACTCAACCACTCTTATGGTTAATTACTTCAAAACTATTGTCACAAAAGGTCTTAAAGCACCTGAAGATTTGGCTATTGATTGGGTCGGAGAAAATATATATATATCTGACGGAGAATTAAATAAAATAATAGTCTGTAATATTGATGGAGATATATGTGCTTCGGATTTATTTGGTGTCTTAGATAAGCCACGAGCCATAGTTGTCGACCCATCAAACGGAACTATATATTGGACTGAATGGGGAGAGCATCCGGGCATATATGTGGCGGGAATGGATGGTTCAAACAAACATCACTTAATAAACAATAATTTGATCCGTCCAAACGGTATTACATTGGATTCGGTGACTAACCGATTGTATTGGTCTGACGTCAAAATAAGCAAAATTGAATACTTGGATCTGAAGACAAATCAAAGAGTAATTGTAATATCAGACAAAGTTTTTTATCCATTTTCATTAGACGTATTCGAAGACTGGATTTATTGGAGCGATTGGGCGACAGATTCATTGGATAAGAGCTACAAACTGACGGGACATAACCAGACTGTACTCATAAGGGACGGGAATGAAAAAATTATGAGTCTTCATATATATCATCCATTAATACAAAAGCAATCGTATAATCCGTGTTTTGTACACCACTGTTCGCATTTGTGTGTATTGGCACCCAATAGACGACATACGTGTGTCTGTCCCGATAATTTGGTCCTTTCTAAAGACAAGAAGACCTGTGAGAATAGATCCAAAATTATAAATATTCAACAATTTCTTAATGATCAGCAAATATTTATGGATCGCACCGATAATGACCACTCAGACATAGATGAAAATGAATCCAATGATATTATAAGGGATTGGCTTATGTTTGGTATCGTTGTTGTTATAATTGTCTTAATTGCTGTTTTTGTCTTTATTTTCGTCAAAAGAGACGATTACAGGTAATAATAGTCGAAGTAATAGTTTTTTTGTAATAATTTTTATATTTTTGTTATCTCCCAGAGTTTTGCCTAACGTAATATACATTCGTAACAATTAAACCAGTAGTGCTAAACTATTAGACATTAAATTAATTTTTTAATAATTTTATATCATTTTTAAAATTATTTTTATATGATATATAATTTTATTAGTATTGAATACTTAAAAAATAATATAATGTTTAATAAAAGTTTTTATTAAAATGATTACTAATTATTTATTAATTTCAAATAATATATAAATATATATTTATTTTATATAATTTCTATTTTTATATACAATAAGTTTTTAATTACAAAATGTGTGTTTTAAAATAAAAAGTTTTTTAAGTTTACTATTTAAAAATCATTTATTATTTCAGATCTAATTGCTAGTTAGCATACTATTAATGTCATAAAAATTTTAATAAAACTTTCTCTTTTTTTAGTATTACTTTATACAAACGTTTACTTATGTGTTTTGTCTTATGAATCAATTAGAGAGAGAGAGAGAGAGAAAGAGAGAGAGAGAGAGAGAGAAAGAGAGAGAGAGAGAGAGAGAGAGAGAGAGAGAGAAAGAAAGAAAGAGAGAGAGACAACTAAATTATTTTAAATAAATTTTTAAAGAATAATATTAAAAGATTGCATTTGTAAAAAAATAATTGAATAAAATTTTTATTTCTACTTAATAATAAAAATAATTACAAAAAATATTAATATATTATATTTATAAACTATATATTCATACAATATTAATATTTAATGAAATTTTAGTTTAAACATATTTTTTAAAAATATAGTTTATTTTATATCATATAAACTTAATTAACAATATAAATTTAAACAATATATTATACATATATAATTTACAGAATATAGAGTATAATGTATATATATATATATATACTATAATATAAACATATTATTACACTTAATTAATAAAATAAGTTTACAATTTAAGATTTTAAAATTATTGAAATAAAATTAACAAACAAATGTAATAATCTGAAAAAAATAATTATAATTTTAGAGTAAAATAATTCTAAATATTCTTAAGCTTACTATTATCAAATCAGATAATAACTTTTGAAATTATAAATTTAGATTTCAAAATAATATTTAAAATATTATTTAAATACCTTTCAATAAAATTTTATAAACTAATCATTTTTTTTAAAAATCGAAAGTTATTTGCAAGACTGTATAATATACAGTGTATATATTAATACTATATTTTGTTACATACATATCATGTAATTTAAATAACAATAATATTTATAAAAAAATATTAACTATATTTAACTAGAATTCGTTATAAAATACATTTAGTTTAAAATATCATTTATGATTAGCAAATAAATGTATCAATTTATCTTGTTTATGATAATTAAAAATTTTATATACATCCATATTGTACAGTATTACTTAATAATGCATTATAATATAAATATTGAATAATATATATATATATAATTTTATATATTCAAGCAAACATTTTTTAAAAATTTGTTTTATGAAATCTATATTCTGTCTGTCTGTCTGTCCGTCTGTAGCATTTCATTTTACGAACTAAACAATATTTCTTTTAATAAATTTTAATAAATTTTGCATGCAATAAGATAAAAATATATTAATAAGTTTAGACTAATTTCATATATATATTATTTTTACTTACTATAATTTTAGTAATTAAAATGTGGGATATATTATTAGGTGTTTGGAGAAAATTTGAAAATAAAATTAATCATTATCCTGTTATGATAATGTAAAGTTTTATACATCCAAATTATTACTGATATTACTAACTATTTAATAACAATACAAATTATATTTATAAAATATTTAAAAATGTTTTTCATTGATATTATTTTGGATTTTGTTAAAAACATTTCAGTTATATAAAAACATTTTAATTCAGTATATGTTTGTTATATTAAGTTTTAATAATTTGATTTATACGTTTCATATTTTAACATATTTTAATTTTTACTTAAATTTAACATATTGTTAATTTGAAATCCAGTTAAACGTTTAAATAAATTAATTGTTTATTAAAATTATGTATATTTTTAAATTATTAATATTTTTGTTAATTACTAACATTTGTTTAGGTAATAAAAGAAATTAATTATTAATAAAAAAATACGAAAACTAATGAATTAACTTATGATAATATTGTTTAGTTTATAGCAAATGTCCGTCAAATTTCTTCGACTGCGGTAATGATAGATGTATCGGTCATTTTTGGCGATGCGATGGCGAAGACGATTGTGGCAATTGGGCCGATGAACAGTCGTGCGGAAGTCCAATAGTTAAGACAGGACACGAAATCATTGAGAAGCACTGTGCTGTTAATCACACCCACTGTAATGATACCTACGGCACATGTATACCAAATAAATGGCTGTGCGATGGTATGGAAGACTGTTCCAATGGAAACGATGAAAAAAATTGTACAAAAGACAGGGCCCAGTGTTCGGGATTTTTATGCAATACCTTTGAATGTATTCCTTCGCGCTGGAGATGTGACGGTATTCCCGATTGCGAAGATGCCTCCGATGAGACTAACTGTCCGTCAAAACCAAAACACGACATTTGTGATAAAGAGCACGGATTTTATAAATGTCTTACCGGAGAATGTATTCCCATCTATAAGCTGTGCGACAAACGTAAAGACTGTCCGCAAGGAGACGACGAGGGAACTGAATGTCGATCGAGTGGATGCCATACCAAGAATTGTTCACAACTATGCTTTGTTGAATCAGATGGACCACAATGTTATTGTCGCGAAGGTTTCAGTTTGGGTAGTGATAACACAACTTGTTTTGATATCGATGAATGTGATGACGGTTTGAAAGGACTATGCAGTCAAAAGTGTGTCAATATTTATGGTGGATATAAATGCAAATGTAGTGAAGGATACAAATTGATTAACAATAGGAGTTGTATTGCAGCTGAAGAGGAACCACTTCTGTTGTTCTCAAATAGTGAAGGTATTCGTGGTTTTTGGCTCCGAAGCAAACAATTCTTTCCCGTTTTTCACTCATCCAAACAAACCATTGGAATCGACTATTTAGCCAAAAAAGATAGGGTTTATTGGGTTGAATTAGACGAAACTCCTGGAATATATTCATCCACTCTTATGGGTGATTACTTCAAACCTATTGTCACAAAAAACTTTAAAGCACCTGAAGATTTGGCTATTGATTGGGTCGGAGAAAACATATACATAACAGACGGAGACTTACATGAAATAATAGTCTGTAATATTGATGGAGATATGTGTGCTTCGGGTTTATTTGGTGTCTTAGATAAGCCACGAGCCATAGTTGTCGACCCATCAAACGGAACTGTATATTGGACTGAATGGGGAGAACATCCGGGAATATATATGGCGGGAATGGATGGTTCAAACAAACATCACTTAATAAACAATAATTTGATCTGGCCAAACGGTATTGCATTAGACTCGGTGACTAACCGATTATATTGGTCAGATGCTAAAGTCGGTAGAATTGAATACATGGATCTGAAGACAAATCAAAGAGTAATTGTAATATCAGACAAAGTTTTTCATCCATTTTCATTAGACGTATTTGAAGACTGGGTTTATTGGAGCGATTGGATGACATACTCATTGGATAAAAGCCATAAACTGACGGGACATAATCAGTCAGTACTCATACGGGAAAGGGATGAACAGATAATGGGTGTCCATATATATCATCCGTTAATTCAAAATCAATCGTATAATCCGTGTTATGTAAACCATTGTTCGCATTTATGTGTATTGGCACCCAATCGACGACATACTTGTGTCTGTACCGACAATTTGGTTCTTTCTAAAGACAAGAAGACCTGTGAGAACATACCGGAAGAAATCCATGAGATTAAAGAGAAAGTACTGAATATATCACACGATATGCTTACCATTAAAGACGATGTCAAACATATTCCCGATGAAATCAATTTCATTAAAAAAAGCATAAACTATTGATGAATGGCACCAATGATGAACAGTTAGCTCAGAATATAACTCAAGACAATCATACCATCAGTGTTTTTGTCGAAGACATTCCCCATGAAATCAAAATGATTCAGAAAAAATACAAACTATTTATAAATTTTATTAATACTACCGATAAATCAGCGGTAGATATAATCCAATCTAATAATAATAATAATAACAATGGATCTGATATTCATATCATCAAAAATCTTGTCGATGACATTCCTAATGATATGAAAATTGATGGAAAAAATGTCAAAATATTAACGATTCATACATTTGATTATCACATAATGGCTTGGCTTATGTTTGTTATCGTTGTACTTATAATTGTCTTAATAATTGTTTTGGTCATCAAAAGAGATGATTATAAGTATTAATAATAATTTAGTAGTTTTTTTGTATTCATTTTTAATTATATTTTTTCTTTCAGATTGTTTCGTAACATATTATACGGTCACCGATCCCGTAGTGCTAAACGAAACATTGTATTATTTTATAAATAATTTTTATTAATTAATTAAATTATTATTTTTAAAATATTATGTTTATGATTTATATATATAGTATATATTGATTATATATTTTTGTTTTTGGTATTAAAAATTATTTATATATTTTTATAGATTAATACAGTACTTACTAAAGTATAATATAATATTTTATTTAAATATTTTTTGTATAAATAATTACTAATTAAAATAAGTATGACATTGATAAATTTTAGCTTATACCACTAACCATTTTATTTTATATATTTGCTATTTATATATAGTAATTATTACATTATTGTCATTTTTAATTACAAAATATGTGTTTTTAAGAAAAATAAAATGCTTTTCAAGTGTTCAATTTAAAAATCAGATATTATGTCAGATCTAATTGTTAGTGTTAGCATACTATTAATGTCATAAACATTTTAAATTAAATAAAAAATTTTATATTAAGTACTAACTTTATTTATACAGACATTTATAATAAATAATAAAATAGTTATAAAATAAGTTTTTTGTCTTATTAATCGATTATTAGAGACATAACAAATTTATTTTAAATAATTTTCTTATTTTTTTTTTAAAATAACATTAAAAGATTGCATTTGCATAAATAAGTGAATGAATTTTTATTTCCACTCAACAAAAAAACAAATAGTTAAGCAATTTGTGTTTATATAATAAATCAAAAAACGATAAGTTGTTGGCAAAAATATTTGTTTGTCATCTTTTCCGACAACAAAAACGAGATAAAAAAAATATTAATATATATATATATATTTGTATTCACTAAATTAAACATTATTTTAAGCAAATCTTTATCTCTCTCTCCCTCTCTTTCTCTCTGTTTTTTTTCTCAAGAGGAGTAGTTGTACAGTAGATATGATATTTAAATATTTAGCAGAAAAAAATTATTATTATTATTATTATTATTATTATTATTATTATTATTATTATTACAAACATTATATTGCATTTTTTAATTAGCAATTCATGTTTATTCTCAAAACATTTATTATTAGTTTTTTGTCAATCGTTTGTTGAGATAATATATAAATTTAAATGATATATAAAGTAAATGAAAGGAAACAGAGCTGAAGTGTTTCCGTTACTGATTCAGACCATTGATTATTATTAGTATTATTATACTCAATAAATCCGGTCTTTTATATATATATTGAATATTACATCAATTAATAAATCAATATTAATAATATTAAATATGTAAACTATGGCTTATCTATTATCTATATATATAAATGAAATCATTGAGCAATTAAAAATCATACACACAATTGAAGTTAATGAGTAATTGCTAAATTAAACATCAAAAAATAATACAGCAATAAATAAATCCTATCAATTAAATTAACCTACACTTCAAACTAATAATATACTGTAAAATTAGTTTATATATACAAAATAACTACTGTTATTATTATTATTATCTGTTATTATTTTATTTGTTTTTTTTTCACTACGCTAAATGTAATGTGTTTTATTTTATTTTTTAATTAATTTTATTTCCCAATAAAAAATAAAAATAAAATAGTAACTGCAAGGCATTGAAAATTAACAATAATAATAAAAAAAATTATATAAAAAATTATTTATCGATATTCACGTTTAAACTATTTAAAACAATTTGTAAAGTAGATTTTTAAACAAAACAAAACAAAAAAAAATTGAATATAAATAATTTGTTGTTTAGAGTGAAAAAAGAAATTATTACTGAATTTGATAATTTGCTAAAAACCTATAATAATAATTTATTTACATGAAAAAACATGCCTTTATTTATCAGCATTTTTAAATAACAGGGCTATCCATTATAAAACCAAAAATTTTATATATAAATATTGAATATATTTAAAGCAATAGCCAAATGGCTTATCACATGAAAAACATGACATTCCGATCAATTGACTATTTTGTTTGTTAATAATAATAATAATAATCACTAAAATATTTTTGTTTTAATTTTTTTTCTCCCAATCATCTATCAGTAATTTATTAATATTTACAATAAAACAAACAACAAAAAACATTTTTAGTCATATTGCTATTACTAATTGAAAAATTATTATTAATTTTTAATTGACAGTAATTACTAAATCATTGATTGAGAGAGTGTGTGTGTGTGTGTGTATCACATGAGAGATTGATATCTATACTGTATATACAATTATTTATTTATTTAATAAAATGTTATTAGCCTTTCATGATATTCACTGAATATTATTCACACACAAAAATTTTTTGTTTTTGTTGTTATTGTAACAAAAAATTTCATTTTACTGTATATTATATTATCATAAATATGAGGCCAGAAATTCTGTCCCCAATAATGTAAAAATGATTACAAAATTATAATATTATTTTTAATGTCTGGCATTCTCTCTCTCTCTTTCTTTCTTTCTTTCTTTCTCTGTCTCTCTCTATACAACAAACACAAAATAATTATATAATGATCTCATATCTCTGTATGGATAGGCTATGTTGAGTGATTCATTAATTGCCTGATAATATAATAAACGATAATAATAATAATATTATAACTGTTTAACTTTGCATTCAATCATTTCTATAGGGATTATTATTACAAATACTTTATATATATATAAATTATATAATATAATGATAAATTTTTTATGCTGTACTGAAACGACTTTAGTTTTTTGTTTGTTTTAAATTTTTTAATGCTTTTTTACGATTGTATAAATTACCGTTTTTTATAATACTGTACAATACATACATACTGTTTATAAAAGTTTTGACTTTAATAACGATAGAAGTATTTGTTAACTATATATTAAATCAATTATGAAATGAATTATTTATTTTGCATTTATAAATAGTCTAATAGTAATAGCATTACTCTCAGTATTATATTCTAACATTATTTTACTAAAATATAATATATAATAAGTATAATATAACTTTTATCATTTGCTATAAATATATATTATATACATTTCAGTTATATAGAAATAGCAATTTTAAATACAATAACTTTTTTTATGCTTTTTTATGCAATATTTATTATTATATTACTATTATATGATATACAGTATGTATGTGTGTGTCTTCTCATAGTATCGTTGCTTAGCATTTCAATTAACAATATGTGCTTAAATTTAAACCATATTTAGGACAAAAAACTAAAATAAAAAACTTTTAAGAAAAAACTTTTTTTCTACCACTCATAAAACAAAAAATTTAATTAAAGTTAGTTTTCTCGTAAATAATCATTAATGGGTTGGCACTTAAAAACAGACTCATCAACAACAACAACAAATGCTTGAGTTTTTTTTATAAAAAATTATAATTTATTTTTTTAAATGTTAATTGAATATTATAATATAAAATAATTTAACTCACATTGTTGTGCCAACTAAATTTATAATAATAATAATAAAAACTATGAAACATTTAGATATTATCATATTTCCGATAAATATTTTTACAATTTATTGTTTATCATAACATTGATATCAAGTTTGTTGAACATAATTAGTTATATATATATATATTTAACAAATATGTCAATTATTGTTTTGCCTAGTTACAACTACAAAAATTGTTTACAAGTATTATTTATCATATTAGTTATTTTAGGTTTACCCTTAAAAAACTATCTGGTATTTAGTTTAATTAGTATCTATTTTTCAGTGTCATCCCCCCCTCTCACTAAACATCACTCAAAATATATACACATTTTTGTAATGTTTTAATAAATTTTGTAATATTTAGCATTGCTGTAAAAAAATTATGCTTTTTTCTATATTATTATATTTAAGTGTCAAATAAATAAATAATTATTATTAAATATATTTTTTCAGATCAAACAAATAATTAGTTTTTTCTAATATGTATCGTTTAAAGTCGTTAAAACATAAATTCAATAACAAATTTATATTAATAAATGTCTAAAATATATGTTTTTATTTATACACAAAAATTCTATAGTTTATTATAATTATTAGTTATGTAATAAATATATGATATATTATACACAGTATATAAGTACACAGTTTATTAAAAGAAAAATCTATGATAACTATATTTTATGTTAACATATTTTTATTTATTACATAAATAATACAATTTATTAATAAAAATATTATTATTATTTTTTTAATAACCAAATCTACTACCATAAAAAAGGTCATCAAAAAATCGTATTGCTATATTCAAACATATTTATTATAAAATAAAAATAAAAAAAATTAATATTAGAAAAATATTTAAGATTCTACACCCATTAACACCCAAATAAGTTTCATTAATTTTGCAATAAATGCAATTGTCATATAAGTAGACGATTATATATTTATACATATATAATATATGTTTAACACATATGAAATAAACAATTTTTTTATTAATCAAAACTTGTGTGTGTGTATAAATTACATAATTGACCTTGAAATATAATAATAATTATTTTCTGTACATAGTTATTAGATAACAACAAAAATTTGACCATTTAAACATAAAAATAGACCA